AAAAAAAATGGTGTCCCCCTTCAAATCATCTGAAAATACAGTGACCCCCAAGAAATTTTGATCTATTGGTATATTACTGGTAGCTTCGAGGAGAGCAGCTTTCGCAGTGAGTAGGGCTTTGTCACAGTAACTGATTTTTTCATCGGAGTTAAGAATTAATGTCATTGTGATGTGTTGAATCAGGAACACACAAAACATCAAAGAAACCAGAGAGCTTTCAAACTTAACTTCTTGTTTATTACTCAGTTACACCAACAGCACTACTTTTTTTACATATCAATACACTCGGGTTATCAGGTGACATATAACACCATTACAAAAATATGTATTCTGACGCATGCAATAAAGTAGTCCCAAAAACGTCACACTCCTCCGCCCTTACAAAGTCAGAAACTGGTTTCTGAATAAAATGGTAAGGGTACAGGAAGTAAACAGCTAATATCAAATCATGCTATAGCGTAACAGAATGCATAATATTTTCAATAAAATCTAACTTACAATAGTACAAGCCGGTAGGCTGGTTGGCGATCCGCTCCGCTCAAAAACAAGCAACATGTTTTTGGCTGTTTCCATGGTGTGACATAAACGTGAAGCTAACATCGGTTTATAACTAATACGAAGTTCGCAAACACCATTCAGTCTTTAGAAGTCACTTAGTTAATTGCTAGGACGTATTCTGCTTTTACATTTATTATTTCCAACCGTTTTGCGATAGCATTTTCTAGAATGAAGCGTTTCCTGTAAATGCTGGAAAGCAAAATAATGAAATAACGAAATGATAAATATTTGCCTAAAGTACAGTGTGTTGACCTTCATAATAATATACTTCATAATGCAAAACACTAGTCACGGTGAGTTATTTAAATATACGACTCCTAATCGAAAAATATGACCACAGTCCAGAATTTCAGACGGATATTAAGCAATGTAAGAGCATATCAGAAGCATTTACTCTAAAATGTTAAAAAAAAAATGCAGTCAAAAGTCAAGAATGCCAGCAAATAAAGAACTCTGTTCCACAATCCTTTGTGCGCGTTATTACGGA